TGATGTTAGACAAAGTACGTTGGTGAAAGCGAAGGATAAAACAGTGATTTGGAAATACTTGGTGTGTTCGCGAGAGGGATACAAACATCACTCAACCGCAGTCCAAACAACCCATCCAAGGAGACGCAAGGTGTCTAACCGAGTGGAATGTAATGCAAGGATTGTCCTACGAGTTGATGGACCTAATAGCTACGTCATTCAGTTTTTTGAAGAAAAGCATAATCATCCAATGATACCTGATGAGTGCAAGCAGTGATTAAAAATAAATCGGACCATGACAGCTGCACATAAAAGATTTGTACTAAATTGTATAAAAGCCAACATAGGGCCTACCAAGTCATACAAGATGTACAAAGAAATTGTGGGAGGATATTATAATGTTGGCGCCACCGATGTGGAGTTCAGAAACTTCAAGCGAGATCTCATGGGATACATTTTAGACGCTGACGCGCAATTGGTTATAGATAAGTTCCATAAGCAACAGGAGATTAGCTCGGCATTCTTTTTCCGTTATGACCTCGATGAAAAGGAGTGTCTACATAGACTTTTCTGGGCTGATCCGGTATCAAGAAGGAACTATGGGTCTTTCGGAGACGTTGTGTCGTTTGATGCAACATATCGCACAAACAGGTAAAACAGGAAAAACACCTCAATTAAATTATCCTTCCAGTATTGCACAACATGGACAGATTTATAGCACCTTATAGAATATATTATTGCACAATATAATAATACTACACGCTATCATTGTTCCTGTGTAGGTACAATATGGTGTTCGCACCATTCACTGGCATAGAAAATCACGGCAAGTGCATAACATTCGCATCCGCGTTGATATCAAGAGAAGATGTGAATTCTTACGTATGGGTATTCGAAAGCTTCAAAAATGCAATGGTTCAAGAACCAACATACTTAGTCACCGACCAAGATCCCTCGATTGAAATTGCTTTCTCCAAGGTATTCACACGTAGTAAGCACCGATTTTGCATGTGGCATATCATGAATAAATTGTGTGACAAAGTTGGGTATTCTCTAAATAATGACGACGACTTCAAACGGAGGCTTAATGAGATTGTTTGGAGTCGGAACATTGAACCTGACGAGTTTGAGTCTAAATGGGCTACGATTATGCACGAGTTTAATTTGGACACCCATAATTGGTTCATTGACTTGTTTACTAAGAGAGAGTATTGGATACCGACATATTTTAGAGATATCATGATGAGCGGGCTAATGAGAACTACGTCTAGGTCGGAGAGTGAGAACAATTGGTTTAGGAATTTTACAAATATCCATGCTAGTTTGGTTTATGCTTCACTATGATAGTGCGATGGACGCACAGAGAAACGTGTCAATGAAATTGCAAAGTGACAGTGAAACTCATGTAGCTGTCCTGAAAACGCCGTTATCAATTGAGAGATATGCCCTGAGTGTGTACACCACCGAAATATTCTATCGTGTGCAAGATGAAATATGTGATGCATGCTTCAAATGCCAAGTCATGCTGATTTCAGAAAATGAAGGCACAACGACATTTGTGATAAGGGACATTGATGGGAAAATGTTTACAGTTATGCACAATGTGAGCCTGAACTCGTCAGCATGCTCGTGCAAACATTTTGAAATGTACGGATGGCTATGTAGGCATGTCTTTGTTGTGTCGAAAGACTTGAGCATGGATGTTATACCGCCTGCTCACATCTTATCAAGGTGGACGAAACTTGTTATACGCAATCCCATGTTCTGGGTTCTCGATAGCGTTACAGAACAATGTGCACAAATTGATGATGTGAAGTTCACGGTGAACAAGCTTTGGTCAGACATTCATGTATGCATGGGGATAGCTGAGGTCGAATATGGACAATCTTGTTGAGTTTTCTAAACTCATTGAGGAGCACAAGCAGAAACTATTGAGCGATCAAGAGGGTGGTTCATAAAAAAAGGACCAGGAAAAAATGTTCGACTCGTTTATCGGGCTGTCTGCCCTAAAAGAAGTAGACGTCTATCCTCCGGCACAGTCTAAAAACAAAGGTAGTGGAAAAAGGATGAAGAGCAACAAGGAGAATTCGATTGCGGCGTCACATAAAAAGAGAAGAATATGCAAGACGTGTGGCGAGAGAGCCGGACACAGTGCGCGTACTTGCCTTAAAAAAGGAGATATGTGTATCAGCACCGTTCACGACTAATGCAGGTAAACATCATTTGATCATCGTTCATATGAGTATGTGATTTCTGAAGATGCATGCACAAATTAAATATTTATTTATATATTGAACTCATTTATTCCATGTAAACTTGTGCATTGCAGTAGAGTGATAAAATGTGATGATCAGGCCCTCCTAGGTACAGTTGGTATGTCGTGCACATTGTATGCACATGCACGAGATTCAATACTACTTAAAACTTACAAGTATATATACTAATTTGAACAAATTTGAATATGCAGGAACAAATAGCTATACGCGAATCTTGACACTGCGCATGGAATCGTATCGGGATGGTTTGACTGAATATACTATTGGAAGATTTCAACTACGTCATCTATTTTTATTGTTGAACTAGATTCACAATTTTTTTTTTACGTCTGTCATATTGTTTCATTACCTATTGCTACTGAAAACATTTCGTTATCCTGGATTCAAACTATTGGTTTTGTTTTACTCGATAAGTTACTCGTGTGTTTAGTTAGTTATCTAGTGCACGTATTAAAAAAAAAAGAAACATAGAAAAAGTACATTGTTATTGTACATCACATGAGCAATAGTATGTCAGATATGCACAATTTACACAAGGAATATGCACATTATGGCAATAATAATGCACATATTTGAAGCAACCAGACCAAAAAAAAAAAGATAGTATACATAAATACGCTTATAAACAATTATCAACGAACCTTCAACCTACGGAGCCTGTATGATATTGTTATTCATATAAAATAAATATTTTAACGCTACATTTGTTCGTGTATTCACATAAACATTGCACGACAATATATATATAGCCGCACTGTTATTCTTGAAAATGTGCACATTACACTAATACGTATCAAATAATTTTGTACAAGCCTATGATGTAAATTGCTGGATAACTAAATAACATGAATGCATTAATAACAAAAAAAAGGTGCATAAATAACTATGTGCACGAAACATACATGGACAGTGCACAATATATTGTATTGATGTGCACAAAACATAAGTGACCAGTACACATGATAATGCGCTGTTATGCACGATTCACAATGTTCGATTGCACTATTTTATCGTCCGACCTACTCGCAAGCCAACACGAGAAAAACAGAAAATAACCATTTACGATATCACATGTCCAAAAATATCAGTCGCCATACATAGTTACTAGTTACGTTCCAGTGAACCAACCTGAAAAGCTTACACATAATCCAATGCAAAATATTGGTGCACGTCCTATTACGAAGATGTCACAAAACAAATTTACGCATCTACACACGTCTTGTTACGAATATGTCACAAAACAGATTTAAGCATCTACACGAATCCACACTACAACGACCAAATGCACAACCACACCCCATCATTAGTTTGATGCCTTTGTTGCAAGATACACCGGATGGTATATCTTTGATGCCGTGAGGCTAATGCCAGCCAACTCGTTGTTCTTGGCACACGCAATGAAATAACAATAATGCTTCCTAAAAAGCTTCATCTGGCCCTTGTCTGCCTTCTTCAGCTGCGTGTTCAACGGTTTTGCAGCATCACCTTTAAATGTCTTCATGTGGCGCATCGTCATCACCCCAATGTCTACCTCGTCGAAACCTTCGGTCCATGGTGTGTCAATAATGTTAGGAATGGCTAATGCGATCGCTTTGGAATTTTTCACCAACCTTCTATCGCCTATAAACTTCGAGACCGAACGTTGCTGCAAACATTTAATATAATGATTAACACGAAATCGTGTTTGGACACTTGCAATTATGTAATGCAGAGGTGTTTGTTTTAACATTACCAACAACTTAACAAGAGGTATAACGGGCTTCGTAACAGCACCGCCTTTACAGTTTCCATCGCTATATATAACAAACAACTTTTGGGATTCGATAGATGCGCACATTACAACCGAAAATGTACCCGAGTGTACCGGAAATAAAATCTACAACGCACGATAAACAACCAATCAAACTAATGCCTGTGAGTATAACGAAATAGCACAACAAACTCATATACCCAAAACAAAGTGCACATGAATGTATTCAGTATGAGGAAGTTAATTTGATAAACAATCGTTTACCACAGCTATCTGCTTCAAATTGTAACGACATCTGCGGGTGATTTTTGATTCCAGCGTTTGAGAAAACTTGTTGTAGCCTAGTCCTCTCTTCCCTTTCGACTCAAAGAACAGCTTCATGCCACGACAATGTAAAATGCACATAATAATAATAATAATAATAATAATAATAATAATAATAATAATAATAATAATAATAATAATAACGCGTCATACCTCGTTACATGGAGTTGTGGATGCAAAAAAGCACGCTGGAGAACTACGACGTTTGAAGTTCTCGTTGAAATTTAGAATGAGTGACCACAAGTCTAGCAAATCATTACTGATAGGCGTATTTGGAATCAGGCATGCCACAACAGGCCATCTCACCGAGCAACTTAACGACCTAAATATAATCACACTACTGTGCGTTCCATGCATCATTGCGTACGAATAAAATTTAGTCAGTATAACACAAAAAATAAAAATAAAAATAAAACAAGGAAAAAATTATGACTATGATATTGATTAATATTCGTACTCATCAAGCGCGTCATTATTCGATATCCAGTTAGAAACCATCTTCTCTTGCACATCCAGTTTCTTCGTCATGTCAATCACCCTCTCTTTGAAAGGGGATTTAATCACACTAGCTGCCATAATTTTCCTCTTCGGCCTTTGTGGCCTGTGAACGTCATCGCCTCGAGCCAGAACATCATCAACTTCTAACCACACAAACGGGTAATAACATTTAATAATATACAAATTAATCTGGATACATTAAAAAAAGGCAAAAAAAAAAACATGTACCAGTCGACACGCCACCTTTAGTATGCAATTCATTATCTTCCCCATTGGTCGGTTGATTGGGCAATCCAGTACCGTCTTCATGCACATTATCACATAATATAACACCAAAAAGTTTCATATTCAGGTAAACTCTACATAGACCAACATCAGAAATGTATGAAACAAATGATGTAAATTTCGCAAATACCTAGTTGTGTGACTACTTCGAGCGACTTCTCGGCTGTCTGAGGATTTCTGTCGGGGGTCGGGGTGACTACTTCGGGCGACTTCTCGGATGTCTGAGGATTTTTGTTGGGAGTCGGGGTGACTACTTCAGGTGACTTCTCGGTTGTCTGAGGATTTTTGTTGGGAGTCGGGGAAGCCCTGCATGTGGTTCGATTCTGGTTGAACTCATCATCATCCGATGAGATACCCAAGCTAAAACTAGGGCCGTCGCGTACCATTCTCTTGAGACGTTCGTTAAGAGTGTTACGCCACTTGACTGCCTTCTCAATTGAATCTATCACTGACAATGTTTCGGGGTCGTTCCAAAATGTATCGTCTACTAGCTGGGATACATGAACCTCTCCGGTATCATTAGCTCCATCATGAACGGGGGCCACACCAATTTTCCTGACTCGCGTTGGGCTGGCTGGAGTTCTCATTCGACGCACCGGTATACACACCTAGAAGCTTTTGTGCAGCATCTTGCATTTTCAAAAAGTTTTCGTCTCCAACTATAACTTGGGGTGCTTGCTCAACCAATTGTAGGATTTCATCTCCAATTGTAGCAAGAAGGCGAGTTTTAGAAGCAAAGTTTTGAACATACGCCTGTTTACAAAAAGTGAAAATAAAAAATAATAAAAAAAAAAACAATGGAACAACTGTATTCATGCTGCACAATAGTACACATATAGATGCACACAACCACACAATGACAGACACAATATAATACAGTATACAAAAAAAAAAAGAACAACTGCATACGAGTACACATACAAGTACAATGTGTTCTGTTGTGCTCCGAGCAGTGTCGTT